TTTACCAGAAAAAAAAAAATAAAAGAAAAAGAAAAAAAAAAGAAAAAAAGACACATGCAAGAAGCACAAGAACTAATAAATCCTAGGCTTGCGTTTCTTACTGCCACCATTCCGGAAGAGTACATTTGGCTTTCCTCCATCATACCCATTCTGATAGCTAGAAAAGGTAAGAGGCATCACATGCTCTTGCTGCTCCCAAGTTAGACTCCAGTCAACTAGCTGGTGAGATACCACTACAGAGGACATAGAACAGTTGCTTTGACCCTACAAAGAATAAGGAAAGCAGAAATTATGGGGTCTTGTTTTCCTAAAAAAGCAAACCAAATAAGAAACCTTTATCAAATAGCTGCTATAGCAGAGTAAGGATGCTACTGAGCTTGCAGTGATTCCATGCTCTTCAAAGATCCAGAGCACATTTCCTGCATGGAGGATGTGCAAAGATACCCAGGCACTCGGAGGAAAGAATGACTACCAAAGGTTCCTTGAATGATGTGAGTATGCCTTTTACTTTACAAATGTTTCCTCCTATTCCAAGCTGCATATGACCATACCATACGGACAACTAATGTCGAGTTAGCTGTCGACATAATTACTCATGTTGTAATGTCTTATGTCAAAGAACGTGCTATGCAAATATTCCAGTGTTGCTGGTATCAATTATAAGATCTCCTACAAAGTAATCCAGAGCAAAAGATGTAAAACTGTAAAACTTCCACAACAGTTTATGTACAGTTAACTGTACCTTTCCAAAGTCTGTACACTAAAGCCAAAGGGATGGAGTATCCCTGTACTCCAGCAAAAAAGAAATTAATATGGAAATGCCAAAGTAGTTTAAATTAGCTAGCTTACAATCAAGTAGCAGTTTAACTGGACATGCTACGCATTACTTTACCCCGAATTTCAGCAAGATACCAAGATGAATCTGACTGATGTGGGAAGAAAATGTTGAAGAACATATCTGCCAATACAATTCTATAGAAAGTAAGACAGCATTTAGCACTTATTAGCCAAGATTAAAAATCGCCTAAAACCCTGAAAACTATACTAGATTTATGTATATGTGTGTGCATGCTTATATATATACTTCTTTATAAAAATGTATCTATCTGTAAAATGATATGCCTATTTTCATTGAAGATACTCCAGTTCTACGCAACTACAAGATGCTGAATCTGAAAGCACTGGTGTAGCAGTGCTGAATGAACACATTTCAAATTTTTTATGTTACTAGATCCTTCTCTTTAAAGTTTTCAGCATTTTCATGTAGCTCAAACATATTATATCTATACAAGCATGGGTCACCCTCTTCATCAGTTAAATGTTAACTATTGTTTCAACACTACTATGTTTTTCTGTTTCCTTAAGGCAAAGAAAAAGCGATCAAATCCCATGTTTTTCTTAACGCAGAACATGAACATCAATACAACAGCTTCTTCTGTAGCCTACAATAACATGGTATTTAACAGGAAATGACTGCCACACAACACACAGGTATACTGCATACTTCAGAGGAAAAATGACCCCTGTGAGAAGATCAAAACAGGACATCCTAGCAGAGCTATGGAACTGTTTTCACTTAGCTATTAGCATTAATAAACACTTCAAAGAATTCTGGGGGAATTTATTTCATCTACCTCTTTTTGTTCCTGTTTGTAACGCTTCAATTTTGACATGAGTTTAGCTGGTAGATGCCACAGGATTTCTTAGGACTATGAGTTGCGAGGGCTTAAATGTTAGACTATTTTCTAAGTTACTGGTTCAGATCTCAAAATGAATTTAAATTTCGGACATACTTTGTTTGGTTTTGTTTTTAATAATACAGAATTTTAAAAATCAGATTTTATAACTCATGAACTTAAAAATGCAGCTTTCAATCCACATCATATGCATCATGAAATACAATTTGATCTTCCTTGTGAAAGAGTAAATAGTAGCGGAGGACGTTTAATAAAGTCAGGTAAAACTATTAAAAACCCGTTTCTATATAGTCAGAGAATAATTATTCTGTAATGCACTTAATATAAAGATAAATCATATTGATGGCAAAAACATCCTCTTCCTTCCAGGGGAATGTTAGGAAATTCAAGAGAAATATATGCATAAAGCATTGAGTACACACTGAATAATCACAGTTTATTGATTATTGTATTTTGCTAATCTAGTATGGGATTGTAACAATATAGACATACTTTCTTTTATGTGCACAAATGGCTCAAATCTATATATCATTAATCACAGAGTGGATGCAGCCCATGGCTCTGATACATATTCCATTATTAATTGCAAAGTAATACAACATGCACATACTATTCTTTACTAATCAAAAAGTAAAAAAAGGGTAGAACAAAGTCACAAATTCTGCATCAACGCTCTCCAAAAAATAACATTGACATTAGGCATTCTGAAAACACTCCTGAAAACCGAAAGCTTCATATATACTCTAAAAAGAGGTGCCTACATTTAAGTCCTAAAACCTATATATGCTCGTGTGTCAGTGTCCAGCACTACCCAAGCAACTTCATTTTTTCCTGACTTTAAAACAGGATTTCATGACTTACAATCTGATTGTTTACAGTGTACTAATATTGTAATGATTTTGGAGCCTGGGACATGCATCAACAGGCTTTTCTTGGTTTTACCCGATATTTTATTTATTATCCAGTTATTTTCAGAGCAATGTATGTGCAAGTTAAAGACATTTCACATCATTTGTCTACCCCTAGAAAAAAGGGAGGGAGAGAGGGAAGGAAAATCTTCCTTATATGTAAAACAAATAAACAAACAACAAGAAATAATCCTGTTTTCCGAACATTCACTTTCTGGCCAGTCGCAGGCAGAAGTTACACAAATATTTAAAACAGACTTAAACAAAAACAAAATCCCTACACAGACACTCTTCTTTACACAATGCTGCATTGGATTTGGCTTATACATGTTCTAAATGGTTCTAAATGAACCTACGCTACCAATCAGTAGGGTCTATCACATTAAGTGTGCCCACAAAAACTGGACTAAGAGAATTTACTTACACTGCTTGTAAAATCACACATATAAGTAATTGGTACAATTCCGTAGATCATGTCCTTTATCCACAGAGATTACAAAAGAATACACATAATATGAAGAAGCCCTATCCACAGATCTAAGAAGCACATTAAATTTTGTACTGACTTTCTCAAGAAAATGAGCTCAGATCTTGAAATGCTGACTTGCTTCCACAAATTAAAGACGGTCATTATTAGAGACAGACATAGAAGGCAGATATAAAACCCACAGGAGTCATGTATTCATTCCTTACTTACTTCAACTAACAATAAGCTCTGTAGTCCATAAGGAGTAAAAAGCACCTAAACCTACAAGAGGAGCTCACTTCAATGATCACAAAGGTGTACTGGCTTCTTGCTTAGTACTACGCAGAAATTTAAGAACTCATTTTGACTTAAAAACCTCTGTATTTTGAAGAGCTCAACTGTTTGCTTATGCCAGTGCACTACAACCTAGTCAAGACCACTGACCTGTGATGTACCAGGCATAGGACTGTTCCCCATAAACGTGACTGCACAGGAGCTCTAGAAAAACAGTCTAACTGTACCAGCCTTCAGGGTGTGCACAACACGTAACCAATCTCTCTTTCATGACTTTGTGTGAAAAGGAGAGGCTTATGTTATTGCCCCTGAGTTACTGTTGCCTGTGGTGCACGTGTTGATTAGTGACGGAAGGAGAATTACAGCTGCAATTACATGTATAGCAAGAAAGTGCTCTTCCCTGCATAAAAATCAAAATAAACAGAACTACATGTGATAATTTGTCGTGATAGTTTCAAAAGGGAAAACAAAGATGTGACAACGAAGTGACAAGAACAGGCAGATGTAAGAATACCCCATGCAACACAGCTACTGGCAATATTGTGCTAGAGCAATATGCTAAAGCAGCTTATGGGCAAGGCAAGGACTTATATTCTACAAAATAATTTGCTGCTGTTGAAATTCTGTGATAGCAGCCTTCATGGTATCTCCACAAAATCAGTTTACATTGAGATCCACTGGGAAAACACATTTTCTTTAATGCTGACAAAAACAAAGTCTGAATAAAAGTTTCCACGATGCCTTGATTCTTAAATAAATAATAAAAAAAAAATCAACTTGACTTACAGAAAGTGTTAAATACCAGCAAAGGGCTAATTATTCCATACTAACTTCCTTTTGTCTAGTATAAAAGGACATTTTCTCACTTTGCCTGGCTGAGTATAATAGCCTATGAATTATGAGATCAAAGCAGCAAACTGTATGTTTTCTAAAGTAAGAGTTTCCTTCACCAAGTTTTACACTTACTACAGCTAAAAGAGCTGTGTGAAGGGATCAGCACTAAACCCAAAGGACAGGCTGTGCACAGCAAGAAAGAGAGCAACTCCCTCGTGCTTTTTGCAGGTCACTACCAAGGACCATGTTAGCAGATCCACACCAGACCCTTAACAGGCAGCTCTGCTGCTACCAGTAATTAGCTTGGACAGCTCTGGCTCCAGGAGTAGCAGCAAGGCTACACCATAATGAGCTCAGCTGGGATTAGCAGGACAGGGCAGGGAACCAAGAGAGCTGAGGCATTCTGCATTGCGTATGTATCACAGAGATCAAACAAGGATGGCTGGCTAGGTTATCCCCTCACCACCTCATTCCAAAAATGAAGCACGGCAGTGTGTAAAATACAGGCTAATGAAGAGCGACACCTCCAACAGATGAGGGCCACATTAATTAACACAATCCCTAGATCATGGAATACAGTTTCTGTTAGTACTAGCAAACTTCTAACTTGTCACTGATTTAAGAGGAAGAAAAAAAAAAAAAGAAAAAAAAAGAGCTGATGTTTTCCTTTTCTGCTTTTGGCAGAAGATGGTTTTATCTTGGAATTTTGCAAAGAATTCCTCTTATGTGGCCTGCAAAGCACTACCTGCAGAAAAAAATAGCAGAATATTTCTTTATGTAAACACTATTTAAGAAACAAACTCACTTTTCGATCAACAGCTTTTTGTGTTCCCTTTTGAAAAAAGCCAGTTCATTCCACACAGCATCTGAATCCTCTTGACAAAGCATGTCTGCATGCTGGCATCTGCTTTTGCTACTTTCAATCCTGTTTATGAGTAAAAAGAGGTTGTTTGTTTTGAAATATCTACATGTTTTAGGACGACAAGAATAAAAGCATCTTTGCTTTCAGAAAATACAATGTTTAAACTGCAGCATCTACCAAATATAAATCTTGCATGCTGTAGACATTCTGTGAGGCATGAAGCCTTAAATGTGGTATTGGAGAAAAGTTTGATTACGCCGTTTCAGACAGAAATAGTGCTAATATGGCACCATGGCTCTCCACGGACACGTGTCAGAGCACTGTCACCCACATTCATTCTAACAAAATTACTTACAATAGTGGTATAAGAAAGTAGAAGGTGAAATCATCACACAATCTCTTGAAAAAAGAAATGGGAGAGCCACCAGTTCCCCTAATGCTCCTGCAAACCAATCTGGAAGCTGCACTAATGCCCACTCTAAATCAAACTGTTGATCTACCATCTAATGAAAGAATAAGCTATCTATGGGTAAGATGATGCATCAGGAAAAAGCATGCTGGATTTAGACGCATAAAAAAGAAAATGAAAATATTTCACTGTTTTTCTGCCATTAAAGTATTTTAAAGTATTTTAATAACGCAAAAGATAAAAATTGCATTTAAAAAATCCTTTATAAAATGAATTTTAAACTCTCTGCCGTTTAAATTCCTACTGGGCATAGAAATAAACTCTCAGAGAATGTGGTAACATCATAAGGCCTCCATCATCTTTGCAGTCACGTATGTCAGTGGAAGTTGTATGTACACTGACAGGTGGATTAGGTCCCATCAGCTGCCATCTCAATAACAGATTCTACTCTATGAAGATACAGAAAGAATGGTGTTCTCCATCATTTACAGAGGATCAGAAGTGCCACGTAAGTACCTGATACTGTGCTCTTAATGCACAATTTACATTACACTAGCAATATAAAGCTTTTCGAAATACCAAAATAAGTCTAAGGCATAACCACTTACAGACGGCTTTATTTGTGTCTTGGCTACTTTTCAATATTTAAGCATATGAAAAAGAAAAAAATAAATCCCTTTCAGTATGATGGCTTTATATAATTCTGTTCTGATGACAAAAACTATCAAAATCCTGTAATTTGCAGCTCGTCTTAATTATAGATGAAAAAATTCAGATGAACGAATAACGATTTAGTACTACACTTTCCTCACTATCTACTTTTTCCAAATACATTCCTGTCAAGACACAAGCTGGTCTCATTTATTTTAAACAGAAACAGAAGTTGCTTTTGTCTCTTTTTGCCTTTTCTTATCTTCTTTTTTTTTTTAACTATCAGAACCAGAACACTCAGTGCTTCACTGTATATCAAATTTGATTTTACTATCTTTATCTGTGTTGAGTTTTTGTATCTTTTCAGCTTTGACCTCTCTGTGGACCTTGAATGCCTACTTAGTTTAGACAGAGAATTAAATAATTTCATTGCATAAAATAACTATCGTCCAGAAGGTTTCATTCGTTTCCAACTTGAATGGAATGTAATTTAAAATTTAAAAATTTAAATCACTGAATTTAAAATAGTGAGCTAGAAGATAAAATCATCCATGCTTTTAGTCAGGACAGTCCTAATTACAAAAAGAATTATTTTTAGTAAAACACGTATGTGTCAACTAAACTGCAGGTGCGCTCTGAAGTTCTACTAAAGCCGTGAGGATATAAGGACTTGTTCAAATTACCTTCTTGAAACAGGGCCTGAAAAACTACCTCAGCAGTACCTGATAAATGAAGTGATAAGAATGCCTTCATCCTTCCAAATGTGTTTGTTTACCAAAAATTCTAACCCTGCACTAAGGACTTAAAAAAAAAGAATTTCTGCATAAATTTTCACTGTTCTATATAGAATTTAAAGGAGAATTAGATACAGAATATTCACTATTTAAATTTTGATGTGGTACAGTCTTTTTTCTTTCCATTAATAAAGATATACTACTGCAAAGTTTTTGTAGAATTATCAGAAATAACTGATTTTATAGTCATTTAAAAGATGAAAACACCCTACTTTTCATGCACCTACTCTTTTTTTCCCTATTAAGAAGGGGATTTTAGGATCAGTTTCAGTTAATGTTTGAATCACTAAGTGTTAGAAAGACTGTTATTTCTATATTGTTTAACGAATAAAATTATTTTTAAAAACTATTTGAAACATAAGGAGCAATTGTTCTATTATAGAAAATCAAAAACATACACAGTCAACAAATTAATCGACTGGGGAATTAGACAAGCATAAATAAGCAGCCCTGGCAGACCTTTGTCCAGTACTCAGGCTCGAAATGAGATCTTAAATAAAATAAGTCAAGGTGTCAGCTCAATACATTTTACTCTTGGATTCAGCTGTAATTTTTCTCATATAGGGGTATGCCACGGATTCTGCTTGAACAAAGGATAAAATCTTGATCCCCACCACATAGTAGCTTCCTCCTTCAAATCAATTTCTCTTTTGAATACCTGTATAACACTTCCGTTCAGATTTCTTGTGTAAGGGAAATGTTTTTAATGAGCTATGTAACTTACCTGCTATCGCCCTCTTCCCACTGCTTTAATTGCTCTTTTAGTGCTCTGTAGTTGGTCTGTAACATCTGCAGCCTCTCTTTGTGTTTTTCATGGGCTGCTCTTAGCTCATCAGTTTCTCGAGTCTGTACAGCACCAGAAAAACAAAATTAGAGTTGGGCAAAATGTAAGAGACTTTCACACAGATCGCATGAAAAAAAAGTTCAGTGTAAGTAACTATTAAGAGCCTCCAAAATCTAAATAGAAATACAAAGAATCACAATCTCGGAGGTCAAATATTTCTTTTTCCTGCTTTGGTAAATTTTGTCAAATTAGCTTTTTTTTTTTTTCATGTTGCTAAGAAGGCTTTAAAAAACTTACTACCAAAATGTCGGTTTTCATATTGTGAATGCATTGGCCTAATGCACCTAAAAATACATAGATTGAAAAAGAATTGTTGGCACTGTCTTTTCCTCCAAACTACTTTTGCCCCCCGCCCCATGGAAAACTAATATACATATTTTTAGGGGAAACACTGGCCACACTGAGGTCCTCATCAAAAAACCTAAACTTAAATAGCTTCAGGATTTCCTCATATATTAATTTACTTCTGTAAATATATATAAACCTGCAACACCTCGACTTTGTCCTCTAGTTATGTAACAAACAGCAAACAAAAATAACTTTTGCAGTAGGTTTTATATAATCAAAACCATATGACACAATGTATTCTCTTTTTACAATGAAAAGTAAGACATACTTTGATTTATATTACAGGATAACATCACACTAGTTTAAAAAAATATTTTCCTAAGTGACAATGTCGTGCTCCGAAAAAAATGAACGCTAAGAAGAGGACATTTCACAGTATAAAGTAAGTCAAATTCTGGCATACAGCAGTAAAAAATTCACCAGACATTATCCTGGAGTAAAATTCGCCCTCAGTGGTTCACTTCCAGTTCAATGGGAGCTCTGCTTGTAGAGCAACTACAGAACATGTTCCTTAATCTTTAAGTAAATCACGATACTTTATTTGCACGTATTTACTGTTTATATGCAAGAAGGGCTTTTCGGCATTAGTCAATAAATAAGATATACTAATAGTCAGAGCTGTAAGAATAAAAATTAAATCCTACTATGAAAATATGGCAAGGGTTTCTACAGTAGTGCTAACTACAAAATACCTGGACTGAGCTTGGCTTCTAAGATGTAGTCCAGCTTTCATGATGCATAAACAAAGCTGAAAGATACCAGCTAAAATTTCAGATGCTACTATAAGTAAAATTCCAGAAGTTTTATGGAAGTGACTCAGGCAACACACAAAGCAGATTTAAGAATAGAAGCAGGTATCCAAGTGATCTTACCATTAAACACTTTTCCAACCCAGTGTTTTTTTTTCTAGAACAACCTCTAAACCAGATACATCTATAAATTTAGAAATGCTTAAGAAGTACTTTTGACTGGTTTTAGTAGGTCATATAAATACTACAATTATATCAAAACCAATTACACAAACAGCAACATAAATTTATGACAAAGGACACACAGATTATTACCTAAGCTCTGCTTGACCCTACAACAGGAGTTTTTTAGAAGAATCCAATTATAGATGCTGTGTTTTCAAGAGAAGTTCACAAAATCATTATTCTGAGATTGTTTGATATTGCTAGTGAAAACTGATCAAGTCTGGCAAGGCACTAGAAAATAATGTCTTCAGCATAAATCCTCAGAAGTTTATTAGTGTTAATGCCCTTTCAGAGATGCAACCAAGTGCAGAACTTGGCCTTTCCTATTTATGAATCTACATTTTTTATTATTGCTTACCTGTTCCATTATCCATTCCATTACAGTTATTTCCTTCCCTTATCAGTTGCTCTGCTGTCGCAGAAATAGAAATTCGACAATGAATTGCCCTAATCACTATTATTGAATTATTAAGGACTTCCGAACTTTAAATTTACATTGTATTTCCATAATCTGTTATTTCTATCTCTCCCTGATTGAATTACAATATATTTTTTAATAATTAAACTCTCTTGTATACAGTTTTCTATATATTGACAGAAATGGGACAGAGCAATGATCTCTAGCAGTGCTGGTTCTCCAGGTTATTCTGCAGCTCTCCACTGACACAGAATCATAGAACGGTTTGGGTTGGAAGGGAATTTAAAGATCATCTAGTTTCAACCCGTCCTGCCATGGGCAGGGACACCCTGCACTAGATAAGGTTGCCCAAAGCCTCATCCAACCTGCCCTTGAACACTTCCAGGGGTGGGGCAATATTGTCATTCTATAGTACTTCCCACGCAATAATGAAAGACAAAAAGACAAAAGTCAATCTGCAGGAGGAAGAATACTTGTGAAAAAAAAGTCATTTTGCTACTTCCAGGCAGTTCAGACAAGCTAAAACATTTTAATCACTACTTAAAATTTTGTTAAAATTGACTTATAACAACTTCTGTTACAGTAAAAATTGAAATTAAACTATTTAAAAAATATATATATTGATTCAATTATTTGACTACTCTTCTTAGACTGACAGAAGCGAATAACCTGACCATTACAAAAAAAAAGTTTTTTCCGCAGGTAGTTTTGTGGAAAAGCCACAATACTGATACATTTTCAGCATGTGAACACCATACATGGAACAGAACTATATATGAAATCTAAACTAAATATAACAGCGTGCCCTTGCTCACACAAGCAAGCATTAAGGTGGCCTTAAAGACTGATCTACATGTTCTAATTCTCTCCAAAATTTTAGAACTTTAAAGAAAAAGGATGGGAAAATCCAAAGTGAAGATCTCCTATTGCTTTTGAAAACTTTCCAATTAAAGCCAGGAAGATCTCCTCTAGGCAACATAGGGATTGCAGTTTCAGAAACATACTCTTGCAGAGAGAACATATTCTTAGTTAATCTCAAATATCTTACTCTCGGCAACCAAACTCCTACCCACTTCTTAAAGACCAGCAGTAGATTGATGTACTTAGACTTTGGAGCCATTCTAAGTACCAGCTTGATGATTTGTTATTCAAAATCCACGAAATACTCTTCTTTACTTTGACATTCTCTTCGCTAAACAAGGGTGCAATCAAGGCATGCTCTGTTACTTTTTAGTATGTCCTGGAGTGCAGAAATTAAGCAGATTCTGTACCAGAACTATGGACACACCGAATTTACATGATTACCCTATCTATATTAGCAAGAAAGACAGTAAGAGTCAACTTTCCTTGGTCAGAAATAAGTCAGCTGAGGAGAACTGGAAAATCCTATGAATGGGACCTTGCCCTTTTCTGCTCCTTTGTAATACCAACTAGGGCATCAAATATTTCTGTTCCTGAAAACCCTAAAAACAAAGCTGTTCATCTTTTTTTTTTTTTTTTTAATTGCTATCAATTTTGCAGAAGGACTGATGGATAAAGTCACAACTTCATCTTCAGGATATGCATCATCAGTATGTTTATTGATAGAACAAGCATTTTTCTGAGCAAGAGTATCTCAAGTAATCCTATAGTCAACACACTTTGCTTGAGGAGGCAATAATGCAAGTACCAGTTTCGAAAATGTTGATCACATGCATTATTTTTTGTTGGAAGCAATGCCTGAGAGGAGGCTAATATCAAGAAATCATGCAATACCAACAGAACCATTCTGATGTTAATGTTACGATAGCCAAGTTCACTGTCATGCTGGCAATAGCCTCATTGAATTCCAAATGTAGTGTCACAACAGTGTTCCATACACTGACCTGGGCCTCTGTAGCTTCGTTTCAATCAATTAAAGCATTCTGCAAAAGAAGCCAAGTAGGTTTCCTAGAGAAAATGTAAGGAGTTCATGTATTCAGTTTCAAGGGGAGGTATAAGACTTAGCCCTTAAAGACTTCATGGATTGACAGCTGCAATAGAGATCCCACACTTGCAACATAATAGAGCTCCACAGATTCCTAAACTATGCTTTTAAGATGAAATGGAAGAAATGACCAAGGCAGTATGGCAAACAGTAAAAATTATGTTGTGAGGTCATGCAGAGAGAATAAAATTTCTTTCTCTTCTGTATCTGCTTGGAAAATCAGAGTGCTTTACTTCTCCTTCCAGAAGAAAACACAAAAAAATGTGGGAAATCTCTATCATTTAAGACAACAACCATACACACTGAGGTGTAAGCTCTGCTGCCAAGGGCGGTGCAGCTGCAGTACACAGTGCCAGAATAATCTGTAGCATCAGTGTCTGGCAGGCCAACCAAGAGTAACAAACAGGAGGCCTGCCAAAGGCCAATTCTCAGGTAGAGCTGGTAGGACATGCCTTGGATTTCTCAGAGAGAAAAAAATAAACAAAAGTAATCTTCTGACTCAAGGAACAAGATGGCCCGTAAGACTGAATTTGAAGTATATATCATCTTTCCTGTTCATATACTCTACGTGTGTTAAGACACATTAATGCTCTCAAGTATACAGAGTGACAAACTTTTGCATTAAATTCCCACTCACATTTTTTCTAAAATCGACTTATCACATATAAGTGTCTTTTTGCATGAGGCAAGAGTTCAGGACTACGGTTTGCAGGGCTCTCCAAATTTTTTCACTGACTTGACATTTATCACAGCATGTGCAATATAACCAGTTCTGCTTTAGGCTAAGTATACTGAAAATATATTTCAAATTTGTTAACTCTGAATAAACATAAGCGAGAAGAGGAGGAGAGAAGAGGAAGAGAGAAGAGGAGGAGAGTATGAATTGTAAACGTTCAAGAAAATATTGCTTAGGGTTTGGGTTTTGCATTCTGAGGTGCAATTTGAAACCAAGAGGTCATGTAAAAGGTACTATTTCTGAAGTAAAAAAACAAACCAAGAAAAATCTATAAAACGGAGACAAAATGGGAAACTAATATATGCTCAATAAAGCTCTTCTACTAAGTGTTAGGGGTGATGGTGTTTGTTGGTGGTTTTTTACAGCTTTTGTTAGAATAATAACTTTTAAGTCATAACTTCTAAGACTACAAGGGGTAAATCTGTTCCAATTAATTGACTTCATAATTTTAAAATACTGGCTTCACTGTAAAAAAAAATTCTTTGTATTTTCTGCTTCACTTTATTTCTATATGAATATATTAATTTATCAGAATATATATTCTCGGACACAAATTTTGAAAATGTATTTCACAAGCACGTATTACTGATGACAACTCAAATTAGGCTTCCATAGGACTGCAGGAGCACCAACACAAGACTCCTAGCAGTAAAGGAAAAAGGCAAACTAATGGAGAGTGCTCTCTTATGCTAACACACTTACAGTCCATAACGATATGTGCATTTTGCATTTTTAAAATGTCTGTTTATTTTCGTATATCTTTATCTATGCAGGCTTAGAGCTAGAGGGTTTTTTTACTTTTATTTTTTTAATGTTCACCTTTAGCTGTAGTGTCTTCTCTAAGTTTTCAATCTTCCTTTCAGCTATTTTAAGCTTCCTTAGCTCCTCTGACTCTCTAAAAGAGCTCTTTGGGGACAGAGACCTTGAACGTTTCACAGGTGGTTCCTGGAGAATAAAACAAGGACATGGTTGAACTAGTTGGAACACCGGATTATGAAAGACATGCAGAATTAAAGAAGAAGTAATTTTGAATACTAATAATGAATTATAAAAAAAAAAAATCTGCATGGAATACCAGAGAAATAACAAGCAGAATTACCACAGCGCTACCACTAAAGGTTTCTCTGTGACTCGTTAATGAGAATATTCATTTACATTTACATTGTTTCTTTCAGAATAATGATGTCCCATTAGGGAAGACTAAAGGGTTATAGACTCAGAAATGCAAGAAACCTCATTACAAAGGAGGGGATAGAGGCTGGTCTAATTGCTCTATAAGGGTCCAAGGTTACACTTGATAGGACAACCAGAAACAAGAGGGAAAGGATTTTTTTCCCTTTGAAATAGTTTAACACACTGTGAAGTTGAAGGAACAATATGCTTGAGGAATATAAATACAACAGACAGTAGATCTTATACCATAATGACCATATGGTCATTAACTATAATGTGACTAACTAGAGACAAGAATATGTGTTTATATTATGTACAGCTTCATATAGCAATCTGGAGAAAGAATATGTGAAAGTAACACTTAAACTGGGCAGCTTTCTTGTTCATTCTATGTCATATGTCCTTATGGCAAAGAAAGACAGACCTCATCAAATTAGACCTTCTGATTTTCTGAATAACTTTGGTTAAGGACAGACAAATAGTAAGGTACACCTAATACTGTTAAGTTAAAATGCTATTACATGAATATATTAAGTCAAACAAAAACTTAAGATTAATTGTGATGATTGTTGTTGCATGCTGCCATTTTCGCTGTAAAATAACTGATTTACAAAAGGAATTCAGGATAAAGGCTTCTTGAATACTATCTATTTTAACACTTTTACTATTCCACTAAAACAATTTAATCTTAAAGAGAATCTTTATTAGCAACTGGCATATTTTTTCTTTGACCATTTACCTTCCAGTATTAAATGTCTATAAGACATTGTATACTACATTCTCACTGTAAATGGTATGAGTTTCCAAAAAGAAGAAAAAAATACCATGAAATATCAAAAAATAATAATATCACATCTTTAAATTTTAAATATTGCCAAGGTGGTTTTGTCATTTGACTTCGGGTTTCTTTTGCTTCTGAAATGTGCCTGAACAAGATGAAAAAAATAAAACAATAAACCAAATCAAAACTAACATTTGGATATAATTTTATTACATTTAAAATATGAATGTAAAATGGATATATTTTGTATATACCTGTCAGCTCCTTTATGTAACATAAGAAACTAGACGAAAGTCTGAATGAACATTTAAAACAATATTTCCAAATTTATGGGTTTATATTGTCAGTATAACATTGTACTGACTAACAGTAGATCTCTTGGAAATAGTAAGATTGATAATTTACATTTTTCTCTAATAATTCTGGTAGAGATACTCAAAAGTTTACTTCTGTTCATAGACGCGGATATTAATCAGTAGATTTTAACATCATGCAAAATCAGATTTATCCCTTTGAGGTGTCTGAAGCAGAACATACGAAGACTAACATATCAAAAAATCTACTCATTTTCAAAGTCTCAGATTTCTTGAATAAAACCAAGATCTTAAATAAAACTCCCATCTTCCACATTTCCTAAATATTTCATAGCCATAATAATTTTTCATAAAAATCCAGAATGCGTTATTTTTCAAGAACTGTTTCCTAGTTAGATTTTATGTTTGTACACATAAGACCTGGAAAACTATTTCTCTGAAGTCAGGAACAAAAGGTCAAAGCACTGCATTTCTTGCCAAAGAGAAGGACAACAAAGGAAAAGCAGCAGACCAACCAGCACCAGACTGCTAAGAATAACTAGGTAGAGAGACTCTACAGAGGAATGGAGAAAAGTGAAAAAAATACAGAAAACTTTCAAATCCACATTCTTTCTGCTTTAATCAAAGGTGATCAGATACAATGAGTACATAACAGTTTTTCTTTACATATATATGCACACATAGACTTTATATATAGCTACGTGGGATTGCACTGTGAATCTTTTTCACAGGGCCAAGGTATGGAAAAAAATAGAGAAAGAATAAACTCTAACTATTCATGGACATGGAAATAATTTCCTGTGAGGACACATGGGATTGGTGATGTGCATTAAGAAACACTTTATTGTCTGAATATGTTTCAACCTATTTAGTGATCAGACTAGAGGTCTATGGAGAGAAGGAGCTGGGTCTGGGCTTTATAGCTGCACATAGGTAGTTCGAAGGCAATCTTTGCTAAGAAGGCAAAGTTTAATTTTCCTATCAAGACAGAAGAGACTGTGTAGTAAAACACACTGTAATTTGATTGCCTGGGGCAGCTGCAAAACTCAATTTGGAAGATGGCATCTGTAATACCCTTCTCACAACTGCAAACTTTGCTGCTGCTGCTGCCGCCAGGTTTAAGCATTTAATTTTTAATTGAGTCCTCAAATTTTACAGTAAATTTTGACATACTTGTCTTAAATATATACACAAATTGCAACATTTTAAACGTGTCCCAAATGTTTAGGAGTAAGAAAAAGTCCAGTTTTATGAGCAAAGTATGGTAAACCCAGTCAGTAAAGGGTAAAACCAGAAGATTTTTCACCAAATGATCCTAAAATGTGTTTACAAAAGACTAAGCCAAGCAGCAGAAAATCAGTAACAAACAGGCTTTATAACATTAATAGATACGAAACTTTGCAACAGAAGATTTAATGTAAAGAAACAGTTGGTGAGTGGATGTGACACATTAACTGTTAATGGAGGTAGAAGAAGCAGAAAAAGAAAAGATGTCTCTTTCTACACAACCTTCTGTTACCCGTCTGCACCATGAAAGACACCACGGGACAAAGCTGCAAATAGTCATATGATTGAATTCAACAGGTTTTGTGTTGGATGGAGTCCCAAAACAAACAAACAAACAAATTAGCAAACAAGGGAAGTCGGAACTCTTACTGAAATGTCTTAGAGAACTTTCCTGCACACACAGATCAGATCAATGTCTGCCAGGTTACAGCACTGAAAACAGTAGGCAGAAATCTTAATGATTTTCTTAGCCAAAGGAGCAGAAACACCGTTGAAGCTGAACCAGAGGCTGACAAGATACAAGTAGGTTTTTTTTTGAGAGGAAAAATGGCAAATTTCTTGATTCACTATGTTTCAACAGGGACTTTATCAGTACTGCAAGTTAATTCATGCCTTTTAAATTCTTCTTGACATTACAGATTTAGAAGAATGCTACAGAATGTATATCACTAAAAGGCAATTATAATTCTCATGCATTACACAATGGGAAAGCTTAGCTATAGAAAAACAAAGGCTCTGTTTCTGAATTGCTCAGCAGATGTATGGATGGCAGTTTATTTAATCAGGTGACAGAAATCATACATAGCTCACAAAGTTACGAAGGTTAAGCTCCAAAAAGAGCTCTACAAAGATCCAGCAACTGACTCTTAAGTCTTCCTACAAAACCACACTCAGCTATAGCACTTTCCAGACAGACTGGACTACGAGGGTTAGAGCTGCCTCTAAGTATACATTTACACAGTACCAAGAAAAACGACACCACACACACACATTTAACAAAATAATTAACCAACACATCATAAGTCTCACAGAATGAGTTATTTCTGTTACTCTGTATGACCATAGGCAAGGGATTTGAATTTCTGCAATTCACAAAACACCACCACTATCCTATAGACGTATATATATCATTGCATTCTGCAGAATCAAACATAAGAGGAAGCAATTCCAATTTACCACACTAGTGGCAAGTTTCTGTTTTGTCCCAGGCCCTTGTTTTTGACATCTCTCCAATTATTTCTTCTTTCCAAGTCTTTGGCTTTTTAAAGTAAAAAGTAATCAAACCAGTGTCATTCTGATCAGAAGTGATTTCCTGTTTATTTCTTCTTTTTATCCTGGGAGTCCACGTAAGGGAGAATGAAGGGTTAACATGACAGAGTCTTTGTGAAGCCAAAAGGATCACCACTGTAAAACAAGAACTGTATATCCAAGATATTCTCCTTGTCAAATCATTTGCCAATAACTTCTGTCAGGAACACTTTTGTCATAAAAGACTGAACAACAAGGTAATGGGGAGATATTCCATTGCAAAGGAAAATCAGTAGAGACAGCAGTACTACCTTTTCTATTGTATATGTATATTTTGTGATCCTAAAAGGCCAAATGATTCTACAATTTTCCTTACTGTCTTGCCTAAATACAAAGGATACGTAGTCTGCCAATTTAGTTCCCAAAAGTTTTAATGAAACTGTGTGCACATGTGAAAAAATCCACATATCAAACAACCGTGAGTATTGAAAGAGCACGACTAGGATCTGCATACCAAAACATGAAAAGATTCTCTACAATAGGATTTAAAAATTTGTATTTAGTTTCACTCAAGGGAGACAATTGCCTTTAGTCCTGACACAGAGATCAGTTCAGGACACAGTACTCTCATTTACATCATTCTGAGGAAACAAGAAATGACGTCGTGGTGGGCTAACCCTGGCAAAGGGTCAAACACTCACCCAACTGCTTGCTCACTCTCTTTCCTCACCAGGACAGGCGGAGAAAATAGGATGAAAAAGTCTTATGGGTTGAGACAAAGAAATGGAGATTGCTTGCCATTCACTGTCATGGGCAGACTCAACTTGGGGAAAACTAGTTTAAGTTATCGTCACTTAAAATAGATTTAAGTAGTAAGAGATAAAGAAAATATTAAAACACCACTTTCTCCTCCACCCTGCCTCCCAGGCTGAACTTCACTCCTTCACTCCTGACTCTTCTAGCTCCTGCTGAGCAGTGCAAGGGGATGGGGAATGGGGGGTTACAGTCAGTCCATAACAGCTCCTCTCGGCCACTCTTTCCTCCTCACACTTTCTCCCTGCTCCAGCATGGGACATTTTGACAGGCTGGAGTCCTTCAGGATACTCCTGCTCCAGAGTGAGTCCTCCATGGGCCACAGTTCCGGTCAGAAGAACCTGTTCCAGCGTGGATTCCTCTCCACCTGCTGCAGTTTCCATGAGAATATCCATCTGCCCTGGTGCAGGCTCCTCCACATGCTGTGATATGGACATCTGCTCCTTGGTGGTCCTCCCCATAGGCTGCAGGGAAATGCCTGCTCCTGCACTTGGAGCACCTTCTCCCTCTCCTCCTTCTTGGAGGTTTGCATCTTGGTGTTTGCAGGGCTGTTTCTTACCTTCTACTCTTCACGCTACACTGCCTATGCAGTGTTTTGTCCTTCCTTAAACACATTTTCACAAAGGCACCACCACATGCTCCTAAATAAAGGTTCTAAAATATGTCTTTTCCCAAAAATAGCATACAGAGCACAATATTGAGAAAGAACAAGCCATACAGTTTTCAAAGGAAATGATACGATATCAAATGCTGGAAAACCAAGAAATTTCTAAGGAAGCAGAACATGATGGTCCACCCTTGTAGGCCATTTATACCACAGAGAAGCATGTTCCTATCCGCTTTCTTGCTACATAAATCTCTTCCAAGTTCCCTGTATTCTATGCAAGTATAATTTTAAAAAAATTTCCGATGAGGAAGGGACAGAACACACTGAAAAACATCATGACTAGTTTAACAAATCCATTTAAGTCATAGAATTATTTACAGATCTATTTCATTAGCTATAGTTTACATTTTTTACTGTTACCTGGTGTCTAAATTTAACAGCAAGTCATCATGAAAGAGGCAGACCAACATTATACAGAGTAACAAAAAGTTGGAAGTATAAACTTCAAAAGGACATTGTTGTCATTCTTCTTAGAAAAAATAATACATCATGCTTAAAAAAAATCAAGAATTTGAAAAAAAAAATCTTTTTCATTTATTGAAATCATCATCATTTATATTTATCTCATTTCCTTCCAGGGAAAGATGGTCATTCTGATAAGCACCACAAAATACCTGATAAATATTCATTTTAACAAACCTACAAAGAATTTATCTTTCGAATATTTCATTTAATTAAGAATCCCTTATTCAGTATTTAGTAAGGTAAAACCTTCTACTCCCAACAGCTATTTTAACAAGTCTTTGGCAGATAACACAAGAACTATGCAAAAAAGCTTCCAGAATTATAAGCAGCATCAACACATATTAAAATTATTATCTGGACCCTTGAGCAAAAATGTTTGGCTTTACCAGCCTGACTTTGACACAAATACACAAGACAATAAAACTATCCTACCTCATGCTTTCTTCCAGTTCCTATATTGCTGCTTTCCAGAATATCCGTAGCATACAAATTATGCTCTGCTAGGTGAAGATTTGCTTTTTTCAATTTTTCCTGTAAAAGCTTGATTTCGGATTTTTGCGTTGTAATAAGACACTCTAGCTCACTTAAAGAAGGCTGTTGTAATACCTACAAAATGATAACACAGGTATATTACCTTAGTAACAAAAAATCAGAAGCATTACAAACCATTTGAATCAAACTGCCTAGAGAAACACTTTACAGATATTACGAGAATGTGAGAGCTGTAAATGACTCTGCTTTTGTAAAAAACTCATGAATCCATAATCAAAACCAGACCCCAAAGCGTTAAATAAACATATTCACACCACCACCACCACATTTTCCAAATCCAAATTTATAGTCTTAACAATGGTAATTTTACAGAGACCTTTGTTCTGCAGCAACTTTCTCTACTATGGTTTTTTGTATCTCACACGCTGCCAAAATCTCTTTGTAAAATATTTTATCTCCTAGACTTGTTCCAGGTGAAATTTCAAGTTGGTAAGTATCATTGGCCTACCAAACACGGAGAACAAAAATTTAACTGCATATTCTGTCAATAAAGATATTCTTAGTTAAAAGCTGCCTCGTGAAAGTACTTCTTTAATGTAAGTCAACAGTACGTACCCACTATGTCCATAAACTCAGCACAGATGTTGTGGTTAAAATGAAGACTTATAGAAAAAATAAACGGTAATTCTAGATCACAATGTTACTCAAGGCAGATATGCCATTTCATGAAGCCATTGAATTCCAAGACCCTTCCCAGCTATAGATCCGTTCAAGGCAATTCCTTGGCACAATCCAACACTGCCGCACACTGCTCACCTTGGCCCCGTTACCAAACCTGTTCAGACCAAAACACATTTTCACTGGTACCAGCTATCTTTAAGTTACAATCCCAATGTTCAACCACGGACTCACGTGTGTACATGTGACCAGGAGTGGTCAAGTCACCATGGCTTGATAAATTACTGCTCGTCAGCTGCGTTTTCATTAACCGCCTGTGATGGCATCGCACTGCATTACAAGCGCACGGCCAAACGTTGTTGGCAGAGCACAAGCTGCAGTCTATGGCAATCACAAAGTGAAATGCTTTAGCTCAGATCTCCTCCACAGCGCTTTAAGGCCAGGGACAGACGTCCACCTTGCAGCAGCTACGCCAGACAAAGACAGTGTAATTCCCAGAAGGTCAACGCATCCAGGCAGCTGGAGGTTAGCACCCCAACGCTAGTGCCGAAAGAAAGGATGGTGCAAACCCTCTCCCTAATCGATGGCACTAATAAAAGGGCAGGTTAGTTCAAAAAGTCAATGCAAGTGGCTTGAGCGGACCCAGCTGACTTTGTGTTGCACTGTTTAGGGCAAACTCATGAAAGCCCTACTGCCAGCGGTGCTCTGACAGCAATGACAGGCAACTAGGAAACAGTAAAGTCTTCAATCAACAAAGCCTGATGCAGAAGACAACTTTCTCAGCGGTAACTAAGTTTTATTTCTCACATACTTTCCTCAATTATCAAAGTTCTGAGAACATGACTTGCTTACAACTGTTTGAGCATATTCTTATCACAAACAATCATTTCAATAAAAAAGAAAGAATTTGGATACAATTATCACTTGTTCCTACTACCTCAATTACTGGTATGCCCCAAGGAAAACAATCAGCTATACTGTCAAAAATTTAAAAAAAACAGTGTAAAAAAGGTTAAGCAAACAAAAAAACATCTCCAAATTCATGCCAATCAAGAAATGAGAAGGTCTACAGTTGATTAAAATCAATCAAGCAAACACACTAGTAAGCTTAGCATTTGACAGAAACAGATTAATGGGCACAGCCATTTTATTTCTTTCTTTGCAGAATATGAATCTTTTCATAAAGTGTACTATAAACTCACACTTTCTACAAATGAATACCAAATTAGAAATACCAACAATTTATTTAAGAAAAAGCTTAACTCCTCATACCACAAACAAGCACAGGAAAGTTGTCAGACAGTACAAGTTGCCTGTGCTATTGCTGACCACTCCTTAAATAATTTCCATTGCTCATTTCATAGATTCATAGATTCATAGATTTCTAGGTTGGAAAAGACCTTAGAGATCATCGAGTCCAACCATCCCTAATCCCCATTAAACCATATCCTCAAGTAGCTCATCCACCCTATTCTTAAACACATCCAGGGATGGGGACTCAACCACTTCCCTGGGCAGCCTATTCCAGTGGCTGACAACCCTTTCAGAGAAGAAATACTTCCTAACATCCAACCTGAATCTCCCCTGACTAAGCTTATGCCCATTTCCTCTTGTTCTATCTCCCATCACTAATGTAAAGAGCCCTTCCCCTAACTCCCCACCATATTTTCTCAAGTATTTATAGGCCGTAATCAGGTCTCCCCTCAGCCTCCTCTTCTCCAATTTTGCACAATGGAGGCCATATGTAGTTGCAAACAGATGTCATTTCCACATATGACCAGCAAAAGGCCAGTTTATAACAAGAAGAAAACTCTGCACAGAGGAAAAAAAAAGGAAAATAGAAAAATGAGGAGTACACAAGTGATGCATTGAAAAGAACATTTAAAAGAAAACTGGCAAGTTTCTTTTTTTACTTGAAAAATTCTTTTTTTTACTTGAACTTTATTCTTTCTTATTAAGAGAAATATATGTACCAACTTGTCCCATTTTACTGATTTCTCAGCTGGATTTAAAAAAAGACTGTGTAACATAAGTTGTAGAATTACATTAGTAACTAGAAAAAAATCAACAGCTTCAATCTGTTACAATTTCAATTCATATTACTGTTACTTTAAAAAGTCTACAATTTTTAAAAGTAGCTGACTTTTAAACCATGAGAATTACACAAATCTAGCTAATGATTAACTTTTTACTGTATCACTACATTTTAATTTCTTCTTTCAAAAATTAAATGCAATGTTTTGAAATGTAAATCCATTTAAGAGTCACAAAATATATCAAATCCTTGCTCCTCTATGTCAATGAAGTTCTGCTACTGACTTTAGTAGCACCAATATATGAACAGTGTTCTCCATTTGTTCTGGGCTTTTTTCCTCTACTCTTTTCTTCTCAAAGACTATCTCTAGAAATTACCATGCAGTGATAATTATTTCAAATTAAAATACTGTAAGGGCACAGTTTCTAACATATAACGTGCTATATTATTCGGGTCTATGATATCCTCAAAACCTGCTCAATGTTTAAAGTTTGCATATTTCTTCAGTTTCAGAAATTCCAAGAACCCAGATGTAACATGAAGAGATTAATTTAAAAACTGAGGTTTTGTTTACTAATAGACTCCAGTTTAAGAAAAGCTGGGTATCATTTTCTGTTACATTTAACATATCTTTCACTAGTTGATAAATATTCTTCTATGTTTCCTAGCCTAGAACACTTTGCTTACTCAAATATCAAGAGAATTTTTAAACCTGAATTTTTAAGACATGAAAAGAGATATTCCAAAGACAAAAAGCCAGATGAAATTTCTCTCTCTGGTCTTTTGTTTCAGATTCATGTCTATTTAACTTTATATTGCTACACTTTTATGTTCCAAGTATCCTTGGTTAAGAGCAAAAAAATCACCAAAACCAAATTATTTAGTGAAAAGATTTGGCTATTATGAGAACTTCAATTACTTCTGTATAAAACATGATGCTACGAACAACCCAGAGTTCTAAGATTTATGTATGAAGAAAGAAATGCAATTTCTTCAGATCCTTGGAAAGAAATGTAACCTTTTCTCGCCTTTTCACTTTCTATCTTTACATCTGAGCTCTTATTTGTAATCTAAGAACTAAGGGAAATATTACAATTAGTAAGGCCAAAATGGCAAATAATTTTTGGACTATAACGGAGCTCTGATTTTAAAATCCAAACATTATTCGCAAAGAAAACCCCACCACAATATTGTGTTTCAAGACTGCAGAAAACATTCAACATCCAGGCTCTGTATGAAGAATGTAGTCCAGTTCCACAGTAAAGATCAGGAAAATAAAAAAAAATTACATGCTAAGAGGCAGCACCAGGTTCTTCCACAGCTTCTGTCTCAGAATTGCCATTGTAGATCTTTGATCTTACAAACTGAAATTGTAACTCGCTCCAACAAAGAGTTCCATGAAGGTTCACTTCTTAAAGTCTATTCTGAATGCTAGGTCTAAAACTAAAATTCCCAGGAGTTGATCATTTCAGTATACGCATAATGTTGACCCTCTTCCCAGTCTACCCATCTACATGTCGACTGCAGAAAATTAAGCGTTTCCCTCAGGTTTAAGCATCTTAGATTAGATTCTACCTGCATTACAAAGTCTAGCTTAACAGAATAATGTTTTCCTCTTTCACTTAGCAAAATCAGTTTATATCACATGCTATTTTATCACAACAGCTACATAACTTTTTCATACTGCAACTCAATTTCACATGCAAAATATATATTCCAAATCAACGTCAGAGGCTTATTTGTTTTAAACAAATACAATCAAGAAAGTACTTGTTTCTACCCAAGCAGACCTCTCACTCCTCTTACACGTACATGTCCTTTCAAAGTAAGACACAGCTGATGTTTCCTAGGTGCATTAACCAAGATGAAGCGTAAGCACCATCTTCACCACAAAGCCGTACCACTAGGGCAACCATCCACACTGTGCTTATGGAGGGCAATCCAATGCCACCTTTTCAATGCCGCCGTTGTCAGAGATCACAAACAATACCAAGCAATATGGAGAAAACACAGCTATGTCCACCATGTTTCTATTCTGCATGACTTTCCTGAACTGGCAAAAGAGATTGGGTGTCAAGAGAACGGGTATCTAAGAGCTTCAGAACCAGTAACACAGTCTTATGTGTACTCCTGCTCCTCCTCAACTTCCTCAGCACAAAGCTGTGCTAACACTAACTGCACAGTACCAAAACCACGAGCTAGGAGGAGACAGAAAGAGGCTGCACAGTCTTTCTGTAAGCAGGTGCAAGCTCACTCTGCTTCAACTACAAACTGGCCAGTAGACACACAATGGCTTAGTAAAGGCTAAAATATCCTTTCTCTCAGCACCACAACAGAGTTTACACACGTAGTTCAGACTAGAGCAAGCATGCACACCCTTACCAGAATATCTGAACTAGGAAACAGCAGGTTTGACCTACGGCAACCGACTGGCCGATGACCCATACCCCAAAGTTTTTTCCCATCAAACTCCAGGAATCCAGTGCCATATGCTACAGAAAGCCATGATGCATGAAATGTCTAGAAGCAGTTTATAAATGAGAAATAAGAACCACTTCCCAGGTTTCCTCTTATTCTGTTACTGAGTCAGCTAGCTGGGCAGCTAAGTCAGAGGCAATGCTCACCTCAGCATCCTTTGCAAGCTCCTTCTTTACACAGCTTGGAAATCAAATTGTCACAGCCTCATCTCTACTGCACAGACTTGTAGCATGGGCACCAGTACTGAGCTGTTGAAGAGCAACTTACCCAGCCTGGACCTTTATCTCATGTGTTCCCATGAATTCCCAAAAGGGGCTAAAAGCCATTGAAGGGGTTTCCACCATCCATCCACCCTCATAATATTTATG